TACACGAGATAAATCGTTCAGTACAAACGACGTATAAAATAAACTGAATAATCTCGTGTCTGATTCGGTTTGGACACTTTATAAATATGAGGTTATTTTTTTAAATGTTTCACCTGAACGAAAAATAACCTGAGGTACAGATTATCCACCAGATAAATATCTGACAGATATCAGTCACGGAAGTAATTAGAAACACTCGTATGTCTGCTTATTCAATTCAAATGGCACCAATAAAGTATTTATATATACAGCAGGCCTACATAATAGTAGCTTGTTTAATGACGCTATTAGTAGCACAAACTATATAGCGTCTAACGAGAAGATGTTTAACGAATGATGAACTGAAAAGGATACAGAAGGAAGCGACCTAATCTAACCTAATCTATCCTGGGATTTGACTTGAAGGGCTGTAGATATCGGGTCTCGGGGCAGAGATCTGAATCCGGGACCTCCCGCATATGAAACAGAAGTGCTAACCACTTGGTCGTGACATTAGGTCCAATAAAAGTGGCACACCTTAGCCTTTGTTCTACGCTGGCCTTGTAATCCTGGGGTCTCGGGTTCGATTCCCGGCGGTGGCCGAATTTATAACTTGTGTTGGGCAAGGCCGTGGTCTAGGCAACACGGAGTTTTCCTCCAGGGGCTTCCCCGGTTTCGCCGTGGCAACGCAACAATTACTCCATTCACACACAGAAGAAGACAATGGCAAACCACTTCTGGATCATCTGCCAAGAACGTATATGAACAGGTCCCAGTCCGAGAAAAGGATGGAAGGATCCTGTTCATATGGACCTGTCGTCAGACAGAACACTAAATAATAATAATAATGTAAGAATGTAACATTGTTTCCGTTGCTTGTATCATTTTCGGGTAACATTTTGATTTATAATTACTTTTACTCATATTTCGGTAGTTCGGGAACGTAACCCCCAATTACAACATCGCGCTTATGGGAAACAGCGACTCACTATAAGATCTCTCTCTAGAAACGTAACCACTCGTCAGAGCGTAGACTGCTTGTACGTAAATTACTGAATAAATAAGCCTGACCATAACAGACTTCACCTTTGTTAGGTCTATCAGCTGATATCACTTACCAACTGACGATACAACCCTGATGAATTATTTATTCACTCGGGCGGACTTGAAGAACCAAACATTTTGACGTATGACCCAGTCTTACCTGGAAAGAGAAAGCGAGATAATTAGCAACAGCTTAAAGTGAGAAGGAATATTTCTCCTGTACGTCATTATTCTGGATTCCAAGAAAACATTCCTCTGGAATCTTGCACCTGGAACACCGGCCTCTCACTTTATAGTAACATTCATTTTCTGAATTTTTAAACAAACTCGAACAACCCACAATGCATAGACCTACTTCGAAGACGAAACATAAGATATTGTTCAAAAAATTAGAATTTTAGTATGTGTATGCATTGCATCAACATTATATGTACTAATTTCATTTATTATTATTATTTAGTGTTCTGTCTGACGACAGGTCCATATGAACAGGATCCTTCCATCCTTTT